GTATGCATACATGCTTGCGCATTGTTGCAAAAGCTGAGGGCTAAGTATTTGACTGCTTCCTGTTTCTAGAAGATGAAAGTAGGGGGTACTTGCTATCTGCTTAATCTTGCATTCCTTAAACTCCTCAGATTTCTTGTTGTAGTCAAGAGGAGTTTGGGAGGGCACAGGAATTTGCACGATCAGTTGTTCATGAATGCAGCCGACTTTTTAAAAGCATTCCAAAATCCTACTACTGCCTAATAACAGTACAGTAGAAACACAAGAAGGGTGTGCGGGGGAGGGATCCGCCTACATTGTTTATAAGACCTAGATTCTCCATAAATTCCAGCATCACAGCTATGCAAGTTGAGTTCCATTCAATGCTTTTCTTGCTGTTTCCTATTTTTAACACTTAGATATTGAGTTCTGTGGCAGAATGCTGTCACTCAGAACCAGCTTTTTGTTTTGCCTCTCTCAAGCCTCATAAAACCTACTGGCCCTGATATCCTGCCAAGAATGTGGTACTCCAGGGTTTAGTAAACACACTCTCACCCATAGGCAGTTAAATATATGCTGTTATTGCATTTGCTTTCAAGCACCAAATGGGTCTTTCAAATTCTGATAAACATCCATGCAATGCACTGGTCAAGCTGTATGATAATGGGAAAGAAAGAAGCGAGGAGAGTGAGTGAGCAAGGGAAAAGTTAAGACAATTGACATAAGATTTTTAGCAGAAGGATAATGCTTCCTGGATTAGTTTAGTGCTGAACAGGCAAAGGAATATGAGGCAGAGGCAGCTTTTATTTCTTAATCTACTTGCAGAGGGGGAAGTCACCTCACTGTCAAAAGGGGGATCAGTCTTTGAAGACCTGGTCACAAAGCACATTCCGATATAGTGGAACGGGCACCTTCCAGCCCTCAGCTTGATTTCGAGGGCTGGTTGCAAATTCTGCCCTCTGAAAGAGGAATCTGTCTCCCCCACTGGGTGGAGAGGGGGGCAAAGAGAGAAAGAGGGGAGATGGTCCTGGTCTCTTTTTGGTTCTGGCCCTATGAACTGCTGGCTTCAGCCCCCTGCTAGAGATTATGGGATTCCTTGAGAGAGAGAAAAATTTCCACTCTTGCTCTGATCCAGCTAACTCCAGTCTTTCCCCATTGTCCTTGAGCCTAAGGGCTGGCTTACCTTCTATCAACAATTCTTTCTATCTAGGAAAGCATGCAACTCGATAAGAGTTCTGACAACCATTCCATGGGACAATTCGGCAGCGTTTGATTAGGTTTTCCAAAAAACATATCAGCATCCTACATACCTAACTGAGGACAGACAGTCACCAGTGCCAGTGATGAGGGTACTAGGCACACAAAACTCCCATCTGATTGATGCCCTCAATATCTTCAACAAATATTGAAGGACTGAAACATCTATTTCAAATATATGAAATATATCTGAATATCACACACCATTATTGTCCCTTCCACTTATGCAATTCAGGTTCTCAGGATATTTTTCAAGAGAAATTCACGTTCAAAAAGAAGGATTTTTTTTCAACGAGGTGATATGAGGATATGGGGAAATGAATGAATTCTGTAGAGAAGTCACAGGTTCATTTTTCAAAAAATAAATTCAATACTATACATGTGCACATTTTGCCTACCTGTTCTCTAACTAATTTTAAAAATAACATGCATAATATGCAGGTAATATTATACAGGATAGGTAGCTGTATCATAGCGCACTCCGCCAGAATCTTTTTTATAGGAGGTCAAAGGCATTTTGATCTCCAGAGCATTTTTTGTTCTGATGAACAGTTGTTGGCATCGGATCAATTTTTATTGATGCCATATAATGCTAAAATGTCAGTCAAGTGACCAATATAAACCAGTTATTCAGATAAAATGCTTGGATTTATTAATGGTGATGATGACAACAGCAACCGTCACAATAACGTCTAGCGTTTATACGCTGATGTTTGAACCTAAGTGGCACAGCAAATGGTCCAGCACCTGCTTTGCACCCCACAGGGTCCAGGTGCACTCCTTGGACTGATGCCAGGATTCCAGACACCTAGACTGTGGAAGGCCTCTACCTGAGCCTATGGAAAATTTTTGCCAGCCAGTGGCTAAACGGGCTCATGGTCTGTCTTCATACAAGCCAGTTTAGAGTTCGACATGCTTAATATACTTTGGCTTTGTTTGTATGCCGTGATAGACCAGGATCCCAGAGGATCCTGGCTTGCCCTGACCAAGCTATGGTGCTCGCAGCCCACTTCCTCCCACTTGCTTCCTGGAGCCAGTAGGAGAGTCTTAACTGGCCACCAAGAAAGCTTAGTGTGCCATCCAAACTGGGGCTCCTGGCTTTTTGTGCTCTTTAGAAGCCAGGATGGGAAATAAGAGTTTGTTCTTGGTTTACAAACCCTACCTTGGTCATCAGCAAAATGCCAGGCACTTGCTAAGCCTTTCTTTAGCCCAGGGGTTAAGGAAGCTTTTTCAGCCTAAGGGCCTCATTTGCACATGGAAAATCTTCCAGGGGCTGCATGGCAGCAGTGCTAATGCAACTCCATACACTCTCATGGAAGCATTCACTCACTCACTCACATGCGTTCTGCCCATCCATATGCCCCCCTCTGCCTCTCTTTTCACTCTCTGCACCCATCTATTCCTCTGTCCCATTTCCTTCTCTACCCAGTGAAGTCAAGTTGGCCTGGGCCTCCTCACCTGGTTTCACTTGGGGACACAAGGACCTGTGCAGCTCTGCTTCCGCTCTCTCACTTCCTTCCCTCATTGCGACAAGGACACAGCACAGGTGACCAAGCCCCCATCACTGCCTCAGAGACGGGGACTATGGCAGCCTGGTTTTGCTGAGCAAGGTACTTCCCTAACAGGGAAAGTTCATGTGAAGCCAAGTCTCATCATAGATCTGGCTGGCACAGGCCAGGGACTGAATGATGTCAGGTGGGTATGGCCATGCCCATCTCACATTAAATTGCCAATGGAGGGCTGGGAGGGGTGTCATATGCCCCCCACTCAATGATGTTCCTGAACTCCTGAGCAGAGATTTGAGCTGGGGATTTCTGAGTCACAGGGCACATTCTCAGCCCTCACACATGCCAGATCCTGAGCCACTTTAGAACCCACTGTAAGCCAAAGTACCAAATTGCTTGAAGTACAATTGTCTCTAAATGGAAAACACCAGAATCTTCAACAACTGAAGACTGGAAAAATAACTTGGCAGAATACGCAGTGATGGCAAAGTTAACTTATTATGTAAATAGAAGACCGATTGAAGAATCTAATGAGAAATGGAAATTCTATTGTACCCAGTACAATTAACAGGATGTAAAAAGAAGTAGTTGATGATTTATAATTGATTTGAAGTTCCTGGAAAATTTGTCAGTATACAGAATAATAACTCCATTTTTTCTGAATTTCTGTAGAGTCCCAAATGATTGAAAGATAGATATTTTCAGTCTTTCTGAAATTTGTGGTTTTGAATGCATTGGTTATACGTGTTTAAAATCACTTGGCAACTTTATTCTATTTTACTTCATTTTACTTTTACACACACACACACCTTTCTTCTTTCTATATTCTATTTGTGTTAAGAAAATAATACAAATAATACTAAAAAGTACCAAACTGCTCTTGCTACTAACTGTAGCATGTTCATTGCTTCACAAACTGTCAACACAACTGATACCCATCACAAACACAGTTCTACAGAATTCTATCACACCACTTAAAACAATAAATTAATCGCAGAGGAGACTTCAGTGCAAAGTCCATACAACGTTTTGGCAATAACTCTGCATTTTTTGCCACTGCTCTGTCAAGCTTAAAAAATTACAGACAAGTTAAACTGTTGCTAGATTAGCAAAACTGGTCACTGCTGTTCCCTAAGCAAAGGAATGGTCGAGTTACACAACAGTTAAAGTTACTCCATGTTACCTTTCCCCTTTGATTTTTCCACATCATCTCCTTCAGTAACGCTCCATTCTGCTTGATTTTCTAGGCAATTTCCCTTTTGAGGGAAACGCAATACAATCGATTCTAATTAGATAAAACCACCACTGTAACAAGGCAATGCCCTAATGTACCCATCTAATAAAGACTGTCTGTTTAATTTGAATCAAGACATTTTACTTCCTCATTCATGAAAAGAGAAAATCAATATAAGGAGAAGAAGGGTAGCAGGAACCACTGGTTTGTTTTGCTCACAGACCTCGCCAGCTATTATGGGAAAGCTACCCTGAAAACCTGTGGAGGGTGCTGGCTTCAGCTTTCCTCCAGGCAGTCCCCACTCTCCTCACGCCTGTCTCTGCATTGACCTCCAATGAAAGACGTGTCCTCGGGGACCAGATTTGGCTTGGAACTTCCAGTTTAGAGACACACAAGAATTAAAGAACCCAGACCTACTTCAAGAATCTCATTACTTTTCAGTAGTAAGCTGGTTTAGTTGTTTACTACTCAACTTAGTAGCTTACTATGAAGCTGGGATGGTAAGGTGGAAGGACACTGAAAAGAGGCACAGGGTAGCTCAAGGATTTCATGCAACAGTTACATTTTCTGACCACGCCATCCATGGCAATCCTGCTTAGACTGCAGATGGGCAGGACATAGACCTCCAGATGTTTTGGACTCGAAACTCCCACAAGCCCCTGTCAACATGGCTAATGGTCAGGAATCTGGCTGGGATCTGCAATACAAAACATCTGTATACAGTTGGTTAAGATTAACCACAGTTTATCACACTTGGACAATGCCACAAACTGAGTTAAATGAAAATGAAACGGAATGTTGCCAAACCACTCTTTGTAGCAGTGCAGGAAGAGGAGGCGGTGGCAGTGACGCTTGTGGTGGCTTGTTCTAGTATGATGTGTGAACTCGGCTCATAGAAGGAAATAACGTCTACAAGAACGAGCCTTTCTGAATATACATTCTAAAAGTCTGTTACCGCCAAATAGCTATTTCCTTTTGGAACGGACTAGCATTTCTTCATAACTGCTGCAGAGTATCATTTTACATACCAAATCTGGCTTGAGTCTGAAGGCCAAAGGAAGAGAATATAACATGGACTGCAGAGTTGTTAGCACTGAAGAACTCCATGACTGATGGACCTCTCGACTTCTGGGAATGCGATGAAGGGTGAACTTGGGAAATTAGAAGACAAATGGACAGAGTTACACAGAAGAACCCATTGAGTACATAACTACTGTACTGTAAGGTTGCGGGCTGAAAGAACTCCCATTCACACAAACAAGAACGAAGAGAGGAGGAGCACCTTCTGGGTAGGGCTCATAATTTGAAAAGGGCCCAGAATGCAGCTACTGTCACCACCCATAGAAGAGAGTTCTATATATGTAGGAAATACCATATGTGTGCTCTGAATTTCCATAGGATGTTTCTCCCCATCCAAACCAGCACCAATTTGCTTTAACACCAAGCCCTGTTGACTGAACAGTGGTTTGATGATTCAGTTGAAACACCAAGAACTAAACAAGACCCTGGTAAACATAGTTAGAGATCATGGAAAGATATAGTGCCTTGTAGAAGTATTCATCACCAACTCTAATGTCTTCCACTCTTTGTTTAACAACTTGGAACTGAAATAGATTTTATTGGCATTGCTGCTATTTGATGCACACAAGATACTCAATATTTTGAAGGTGCAAAATATTGATTATGGGAAACAGTTAAGTAAACAAATAACAAATGATCCTCAAGCAGTAACAGTGCCAAGAAACCCATTTCACTTCCAGGTTGCAACACAAAAAGTGGAAAAGTCAAGGGGGCATGTGTGAACACCTCTGCTAGGGGCTGTAGGTCAACTTCAGTCCAATAGTCTAATTGAAACCCTTGTACAGTAGCCATAGATGATGAGTTCCATGCAAACATGAAAACCAAATGTGGTGTGACAGGAAGTCACTTAGGAGAAAGAACCTTTCCAGTGGTGGCGTCTTGCTTCTGGAATGTCTTCCCAGAAAGGGCACCTGGTGCCTATGTGGAAGTCTTTTCAGCAATTTCACATTTCTTTTTAAATAGGTTCTTGTGTCCCAACTCATTTGAATCCATTGTGGATTTCTCCAGATCCCTATCTGTGGCAGAAATGGAAATGCAGAATAGGAGCCTCCTAGGAATTTAGCAAACACAGGCTAGTAACTTTTGTGGGCACAGATGCTTATCTGAAATATATATATGCAAGCCCTCCTTTTAAACTCTGTTCATATCCGCAGCTTACACATATTACAAGAGTGTTATCTCAGTGCCCCATCTAGTGGATAACAGAGCATATTGCTAGTAACAAACCAGGGATAGGAATATAGGTTTGTCAGGCTGGGTGCTAAAGGCATAAATTGGAATTAAAGAGCAGGGTGCAGCCGAATACATGCTTAGCCTTGCAATTCCCTTTGCATGGCAAAACTGAACTGAGCTTATAGTCTTTCAAAGAAAAGTCTAGTTTTTGTTATCCAAAATTCAGTTTGATAATCTAATTTCTATTAGAAAGATCATTTTGTTCTTGCTACTATTAAACGTTTGGAAATGTTTGGTGACCTAGTGCAAATCACCTGCAGATCTACCCGTACCTTCTGTTCAATCTCCTGTCCACCCCTGAATTAAATCGAGGAGTGCAATTTGTTCCCCTTAAGATGACTTGGTCAAAAACTTATACCATTCCTCACAATGCTGGAAGGTCAGATGTTGTCCACACTTGAATTAAAAGCATGGAGTGAAGTTCTATGCATTTATACTAAAAGCTGGGGAGCCACCAAATGACTGCTGGTTAAGGAAAAGCAGGTGGGACCATCTGAGAATGCCAAGAAGGCAGGATTTGGCTCTTTGGGCCTGAGGTTTCCCACACTGGTATAAGCTACAGGCCCCTTTCAGTGATCTCAGAGATGATCCAGTTCATGCTTTTGCTCTGAAGCAGCATGTTGCAACTGCTCAATCTCTGTTCATGCATTGGCATCTGGTCACAGAACTGGAAGAGACAGAGATGATTAGGTGTGAGTTTCTCTACTGATCCTTTTATCACCATAACATTTTATTTTACTTTGAAATAAAGGTATTTCAAGCGTAACAAAATGAAGGCAACAAAAAGTATATAGATAATACATCAAGAGCATTAAACAACAAAGAAACTTTCCAATAATAATTCTTAGCTTGTCACTGATAATTTTAGGGAACATCCAGAGTAAAACATCTTATAAAGGAGCATGATACTTAATGAAGGTGCAAAACTACAATTTATGCAGCACACAGAAGGAGAGGGTGCAAGTGCATGTTATTTGGCATGGCAGTGCCCATTCGCATGCAATCCTACTGAGGGCTGGAAGCCCCAGGACCTGGCAGTTTTGGATCATCCAGTGCATGGCAGGAGGTGCAGCTTCCCGTCCTCCTGCCCTGCATATTTTGCTAGATGAGGTTTTGCTTACCCTGTCTAGCAGGGATGCTTCAGATGTGGAAGGAAAGAGGGTGCTGGCCACTCAGGATAATGCCTATCCTGGCCTCTTTGGTCTCTTCCCTTCCCTGCCCACCAGAAAGCCCCCTTTTCCCACTTTCTGAGTTCATTTTTCTGACATCAGAGGGCATCAGATCTTTCTGTAGCAGGTGCAAGATGGTGAGGAGGGCAGGTCAGGTCAATGGACTCACTGCCCCTCATTCAATGCCTGGGAGCCCTGGCATTGCTCTCTTAATCAGAAAAACTATATACTCAGAATTTGATGAAAAGTTTGAAGAGCTTCAAGAGGAAATAGATGAAAACCATGGTATCATAATCATTCTTAAAAGTAGGATTCCTTGCTTGCAGCTCTTGCTGAAGAGATCATATACAGTCATAGTCTCCCAAATTTTATCAACCCATGGCACTATAGTTGGTTGCTTTGGGGACTTCCTGTTACACACTATACATGGCTTTGCAGCTGCATAGTACTGCGTAAGATCTGCTTATTGCTCTACTGCTTAACTGATTATTAAAGTTGTATTTGTGCTGCCTCAGCTACATCACAAGCCCATTAGGAAGCCTTTTTTCTTGAAAAGGGGAGTACAAAATAAAAATAAATGGCAATGCCTGGTCATTTGGCATCACATCCAGAAATCACAGGCATGTTGTCTCTAAGAAGCAGTTTTGTCCTCCAGGATATGGCTCAATCGTCCTTCTGTCTTGGAAAATGTATGGAAATGCCTGCATGGAAAATGTGTTGGCTGCCTGTTTTCAGCCATAGCCAAGGTTCTATTTTGTTGTTTGTTTTTCTCTTGTATGTGAAAAGAATGTGCAAGTCTTAATCTCCGGAATGTTTTACCCAAACAAATAATGCGAGTAGGAATTTCAGTAATGTTGGTGAAGGGGGGAAAAAAAACTATAAAGCAGATAGCAGAAAAAATGTACTCCCTCTTGTCTACTGCATTTGGTCTGAATAAAGCTGACTGATTTATCCCCAAGGGGATTATTTTAGCTCGTTTCATATTTTTAAAGGATATTTGCAATGATATTGTCCCTGACCCAGAGACCCTTGAGAATAGATTCCCAGGATGATCAGTTCTCTAGCTGTGGCACTGTGGAATCACCTAGAAATGGAGAGAAGGATGCCCCAGGAAGAAACAATTCTTTCATTAGTTTTGTTAGTAGGCACTTCTTGGAAATGAACTTCAAAATATCTGGAGATCTACTGCTTACAGCCTGAAAAGGTGACTGAAGGGGCTAACATAGGAAAGATGGAGTACACTGTCTCTCCTCTGCACCCAGCATAGAAGCCAGGCAAAATGCCATGGGAGGGAAATCCTCTCACACCGTCCAGCATACATGGGAGGGAACTGCTCTGCCAGTGCCCAACATACTAGTAAAATGTAGGCTTGTAATTTCTACAAGCTTATTTACAAGGCTGGTTAAATCAGAATCTAAGAATCCATGCACAGACGTCTGTATGGAGCACCCATAATGGGTTGGAGTAACTACCATCTGTCCTGAAACCTCCTATGTTTAGTTGATTGATTGGTTAAATTCCAATATATTTCATCCTTTTGCAATCAGCCTAGAGAACATTTGTCATTGGGCAGCTTAAGCAAACAATAAATACTAAACGAACTGTCTGAGCCTTTTAAAAAGTGCTTTTTAATTAACCCAGCAGCAGATTTTTAAACACTATTTTTAAAAAGTAATTAGTTGCTGTGCAGCTACATTCGAACACTCCAAGTGATAAGGACCTATTTCAGAAAAGGCATTCCAAAAGGTCAGCTGAAACACAGTTGAATACCACCTAGGAGTGTGGAATCTTTCAGTCATGGCTGAATTCCCTTGTGGGTAATCAGCATGTGTGTGGGAGGGGGATGCTGGTGTGAATGGGGCTAAAGCCCCTGGTGGCTGGGGCTGGGGCTGAGGCCAGTCCTTTTCTCTCTCTTTTTTCCCACCCAGCAGCCTGCTGGAAAAAGGATAGATAGCTTTCCTGATTTGTCTGAAGTGAAACTTTTAAAAGGCCTTGTAAACTTAGTCCTAGGGCTGCAGATTGCTCACTCCTGATCCAGAAATAGTGCACTTTTGCCACTTCAGAACTTGTTTTACCCATACATGCAGATTCACGATACAGTCTATGCATGCTGATTCAGAAATTAATCCCCCTGAATTCAACGGCACTTACTTCCAGCATTCTGTGCATGCTGGAAGTATGCTTCCAGCTTATTCAAAGCTAAGTCTCATTGATGTTCAGTGGTGCTTACTCTTAGGAATCATGTCTACAATTGCAGCCTTCCCTCATCAAGCAGATGATCAGTTAAGATGAGAGCCCACACACAAACCTAAATAAACATGTTCTGAAATCTCATTTTTATTCCCTTTCATCTTACTCAGATATATCCTTTGTTCTACATGGGTGTGGGCAGCATCTGTGTGTGTATGTGCATGTAAAAGAAAGTTTCTTCTTCTGTTCCCATACAGGAGAGTACTTATCTTCAAACAAGAAAAAACTTATGTTCTCCAGTGGGAATAAATATTTCATTTTTGAGATCTCAAGCCAAGCCATGATGGGGATCAATTACTTGAGTGCTCACTGGAGTCAGAACCCTTAGAGTGTGATAAGAACTAGATCAGACAGCTAACCTTGTTCCCTACCCCAAAGGGGGGAAAAAGCAATTTTATACTGTAATACATGTTTCAAAGTAAAGGGCCGTTTGGTGGAGATAAGCACAAGCCTGAAATCTCCACAGAGTAAACCAACACAACAAAAAACAAAATACAGAAGCGTGTAACCACATCAAAAATGGAAACCTTCAGAAGCTAGTCCAAGTGAAACACAGTTTTCATATTCCTGGGTTTGGTTATACAGAAGTTGTTACATACTTAAAAGAAAACAGCTGTTATGTTAATATATACTTATAAAAGATCCTATCAACATGAACTCCACCCTTCCTCCTGAAAAATTCTTACATGTAGCAAGAAATTAAAAGAAAGATTTGTTCCTGTGGTTCCCCCTTCCCCATTTATCTTCATTGTACAAACTGAATAGGGAATCGGATATATCCCAGACCAAAATGATTAGAGACTGTGGCAAAGCTGCAGTAAAGGAAAGCTTTCGCATTTTTTCTTTTAGTGGTGGTTGGGAAGGTATGCTGAAGTCAGAAACAAATCTGTGCAAGCTGTGCAACAGCCTAATCCCAGGGTTTGTGATCCAAGCATACAAGCACTTAGGATGCGACTATCAATGTAAACACCAGCATTATAACAACAAACAAAAGCATCATGACAGCACAGCAATGGTATGCTAATGTTAAAGGCAGATTGTGCAGATGTCACTGGCAGACTGATATGCTTGTCCAAATGTCCTTGGCAAAAGTATAATGTTTTCATTGCATGTTAGTATAAAGATTTTTTTTCGGGGGGGGGGGGGAGCCAGTTCTATTGATTTCAGTGGGAAATTTCAAGGTGAGCCAGACTTGATATTCAAGTGACCCGGTGTGATTTCCTGAATTTCTACTCATAAATAAGACCCCATGAGTTCAACAGACCTTAGTCTAAGCTGAATAAAGTTGCAGCTTTAAGGTATTTTGCATACTTCTGCTCATTCACATCATTTTTCTGTGAATATTGAAATACCACTCGGGCAAAAATACGAAACATATAAAAGTTACAGCTGCAGTCCAACAGAGTTAAGAACATTTGCACCCATGATTTCAGTGATGCATCCATCTGTATTTCAGTTACTGGCGCACACAGAATAATGGCCTATTAATTTTAATGGGAACTGCTCATTTCTGTGACCCAAGCTGTCACAGGACTCATGTGCTAAACAATCTTTATTGATATTGTTCCACTTTCTTTAATGTTAGAACAGGGTAGGTGGACTTCAGTCTTGCAGAATATCCTAGAACCCTGACAGCCACCAACCAAGACCTGATGCAAAACATGTACATTTAGATTTAAATAACTCTGTGACCTGGAATTTGTTTCTGAGTACTAGAATGGAATGAATCTCATTGTCTTTCCATCCTAAAAGCCACTTCCAGTTGCTCCAACTTTTCCATATTGCAGCAGTATAAGTATCTTTGCTAATCCAGCACAAGTCACTCAGAGATCTCCCAGTAAATCCAGATCTACTGGCACCCCTAGAAGATTTTCTATATATGCAAATTATATGCTTTAGAACAGCAAAACAGGGCCTATGAGTTTACAAAAGGTTTAAACATTCTTGAAATACAACCATACAGTATTATTCTAGGTCCTGATTTTTTAAACATTAAAAAGCTGTTTTTATATTTTTAAGATTTTTCTCATTTTATGTTTTTGTTTATTGCTCTTAATTTCCGGAATTGTTGCCTTTATATATAAGTTGTCGTAAATAAGCATGGGATAGAGACTGCACACATACTCTGAAGAAAGCATGTACACATAGCAGTTCACACCCTGCTGGGTAAATATGCATAAGGTTGGCAAAGATGCATATGCGGAAAAAATTCTAGGGGCAGAGAAATCCTATAGTGTCACAGGATTATTTGCAGACCAAGAAACCAGTTCTGCAGTTGCAGCTGCGACTGTGCATTCAGCACACCCTTCTCCACTTATAGCTAGCACAGAAAAAACTGCATCTGCTGTGCCTCTGAGGTCTTAAGAGTGAAGAGGATGTTTTGGGGGACGGGGTGCAGAAGAGACGGGGGTTGCCAGGATACAATGGTGACGCTCCAGCCTCCTTCCCTCCTCGCCTAGACGGCTGAGATCATCTAGGTGTGTTGCAGATGATGGCTGGGATCAGCCTTCCAGCTATGCTGCACAGTAGAAGGAGCTTGGAAACACTCCATGCTCCTCCTGCCCTCGGTAGGTAGGGTGCCTGTAATCCTCCCATTTCAGAGGCTTGTGGGCACCCCCATAGTCAGCATGCATGTTGTTCACTTATAGATCGCATTTATTCAATGTAAATATTTTATGCGGCCATGTATTCCACGTGGAGGCCACACAGATTACTCAGGCAATGTATGAAACAACTGCAATCAGTTTACATTGTCCAACACCAGCTGCTGATTATTCATACTGAACAAGCAATTGCTGGCAATGTCAATTCACGCATCTGCTTCATGCCATGACATATGTACAATCACCAGTGTTTGTTCATCGTTTGGCTCCATTAATCCCAACATATTGTTTTTCTAAGTTTCTTTTGAGATCAAGAAATAAACGGTTTGCACGGGTGAAAAGTGATAGAAAGGAAGATGGCTCTTGGACTATATGACTTGGGAGTAAAAAAAATAATATTCAATAAATGAAATCCTTAGAACTGAGATGTAGTGTATAATTTTTTGATGGGCAATTTAAACCACCATTTCACATTCAAAATATAAGCAAATAGTTACCAATAGAAATGTGAATGCCCAGGGGAAAAGGAGGGGAGGGATGGACAAGGGCAGAAAAAATAGAAAGCCAGTATTTTTTCAAGGGACTTCTTGGAAAATGGGGGAGGTTTTTCTTTTTTTTAATCTAGTCCCCACCATTTTTTTATTATTCTTTCCTTGGGCCTTCACATCCCTATTTACCAAGAAAGTTGTGACAACTTACCGAGGAATTGGATAATAATTCAGCTCTTTTTTGTTCAAAAGAACGGATTTTTTCTTCACTCATCTTATCTGATTCAGCCAAAACATAATGTATAGGAGAGTATGACTGGGAGAGACTGCTAAGTAATCTCAAGATTTCCATTGTGTGCCCTCCTGAAAAATATAGGTGCAAAATTAGTTTATGAAACAAGGCTCAGGGTAAACTGTAGGTTCCAGTCTGGCTGCCTTCCGGACTGGGCTGTCCATGGAAGTATGTTTATCCTTTCATGCCTGCATGGGATGGCTGAGCAGCTACAAAGCAATCTCCATAAACAGAACTCTCATACCATCTCAAACACAATTATTTTCCTGTTATAGCCATTTCACATATTCCTTTCTCAGTTGACAAATATTTGCATTAGCAGACATTCAAGTAATATTTCATAATTACACACCTTAGGCATTGTTTTGTTCTGTTTTGAAAAATCTGAGTTTAAACATTGAGTAGATCCTGATCTCCTTTTTAAAAAATCAACATGTATAGAACATAAAAAACCTGACTTTTTCTGTGACAACTTTACATTGTCTTTATTTTCTAAGAAGAGTTGCATTCTATTCTGCTGTGCTTCTACCATTTTTTGTAGAAAGAAACAATGCTGGGAAACATGAATTTGGGCACAGGAAGTTGCTTTATTCCAGGTTAGAGCATCAGTTCACCTAGCCCAGTACTGTTTATACTGGCTGGAAGGAAAATCTTAAGTTTTCAATCAGGTGTAATTCCCACTCCTATCTAGAGATGGCAGAGGATGGAAGGACCAGAATATCCTGCTTGGATAGAACTGAAATTCCAGTGGGCTGAAACTTTGAACTCAGAGTACTTCTTCTGGGAAGGTGGATATACTACAACAGTTTGTTGCAGATTCCACTTCTGTACTCTGCTACTAAATTATATTCCTTACCCAGATGCTGCTAAAGTTAGCATATTCACATTATGTGTTAACTATATTCAGCCTCCCCCAACCTAGTGCCCTCCAGATGGCATGGACCCCCTGCCCATTGGCCATGCTAAGTAACTAACTTGAGGGCATCAGGTTGAGAATTTGGCCTTTTTTGGGGGGTGTCTAATTTTCTCCTATGCCCATACAGTTGTGAGCTACTTTGTGGACTGCCTCTCTTACTTTCAACCACTCAGGGTTGTAATTTTATAAGAAGCAGGATTCTTATTCCATTAGTACTTATAGTCAAGGGGGAAGTTCATAAGGCAGGGTTTCCCTGTCATTGTGTTACAGTGGTAGGAAATGTTGGTAAAAGAAACATTGACTGTCATGTACAGACTCTCACTATACTGTATTACTTACAGCGAAAGTCTTTTTTTTTTTTTTTTTTGGCTTAGACTCTGCACCATATCGCCTTGTCTTGATTCTCTACATATCCTTTAAGATCAGCTGAACTATTAGGAAGGTGACGTGATCCACCCAAGGTGAGCCATCATGAGGTACCATCAAATGGTACCGGAGAGGTCACCTGACTCAGTATGAACCTGCTTAATTTATTAAAATCAGCATGTGCAGACATGCTAAGTTCAGTGGCCTGCTTGTCTACATGTAAGAAAGCACCTCCTCTTCTCTAAAATGCTATGCAGCCATCTCCCCCAACCGGATTCCCTCCAGTTGTTTTGACTACAAATCCCAGCATTCCCGTCCATGAGCCATGCTGCTTGGGGTTGGTGGAAGAGGACGTCCAAAACGTATGAGCATGGCAGCTACTATAAAGTGAGCGGAAGCTCTTTGACTTGCGCTAAACCTAAAATAAAGTCCTGAGTGTTAGGAAAGCAGGGAGTCGAGGTCCAAAAACATCTGGGAGCTCTTTCCTGCCCACCCACTACTCGGCATCCTCCAATTCCAAATCAAAGACTACAACTCTCACTCAACGCCAATGAAGTACAACTCCCAGCATGCCTCGCTCCCGCACCCCTGTCCCTAGTCGCTTTGCTTGCTGGGTAGCGTAGTCCGGATGGCCTAGGCCGCGCGTCGTGGCGGACCCCGCCGTCTCAACCTTACCAGAACCGGCCACGACTAAGAGGGCGACGGCCGCGTTACGTGGGACGCGCGCACCGCTCGTCTGGAAGAAGCGAGCGGCCAAGAGCAGCAGCAAAAGGGAGACGAAGGCAGCGGTGCCCAGCGTTGCCCACAAGGGCTCCATGGATAGGCCACCCCTCGCGGCGACTACGGGAACCGAGAAGGCTCAATCCAGGCTTTGGAGAGCTCCTGCTAACAAAACCGCTCCCTGCAAAGCGTCTTTAAGACCGCCTCATTTTTTTTCCGGTCAGACCGTACATTAAGACGGAAGGTGTGCATTTCCAAAAAAAGCAATTTTGTGGAATTAACACGCAGCAACGCAGCAACTGTTCCAGATGCCAGTTCCAAAACAGCTGTGCTCAGTTGTTTGGATACGAAGGGTGAGAGATACACTACGCGCATTTTGTGCTTATGTCGAGCTTTAGTGCATGAAAAAGCTTCGAGCAGGAAACTTTCATTCCACCAAGAGACATTTTTATCCTTGCGCGGAAGGAAAATTTGATGTTAGGATTCCGCAAATGTTGCTGTCTTGCCCTACTCCCAGAGTTCGTATTCAGCGGTGTTCCTGTTGCCCTACATTCCAAGCATTTTTCTTTTACACATGTCCAGATGATAATTTCATAGTGAACCTAGAGATAGGAAGATTGAGAAGGAACCCTGTTCCCCTGGGATATTTTGAAATTTGGAGAAGAAATCGCACCTCTTTCGATTTTTTTCTGATTCTTCCTCCCAAACTCAGGTCTCAAAAGAACTTATTTGACCTATCCACTTGCACTCTCCTCATGTTAGAGACTAACACTTCATTATATTTATATCCTGCTTTTTTCCTTGCAAGGAATCCAAGATCACCCTCTTCACAGGTTTATAGAATCCTTTCTCTACATTTTATCCTCACAACAATCCTATGAGATAGGCTAGACTAAGAATCTGCAACTAGCCCGAAAGTAATTCATGGCCGAGTCAGGGACTAGAACCTTCTAACTTCTACACCACTTATGAGCTTTCGCTGGCAAGAAAGTTGCATAAAACCAGGATAGCATGCCACAGTAGGGATTCAATCATCACACACCCACTGGAAAATAACCATTATTGAACATAATAGGATTTACTTTTGGTTAAACACATAGGATTCTAATCCTATGTGCCCTTGGGAGGGACAAATATAGTGGACCCCCAACTATATGTATTTATTGTATTTGTACACTGCCACATAGCGCAAAATAATTCTGGATGGCTCACAGTAATATATGCAGACATTTGAGCTGTGTGATGCTTAGTCTCAAAGGTGCTACAAGCCTCATAGCTTGTAGTTTGTCATGGAAGTGGCAAACACATATTTTTCTTAAGGACTGTATCTCTTCATATTAGCATATACATATTGTACACATTAGTAAGCATTTGAAGAACATAGAATGATGACCAGTGCCATCCTAACTACATCCTTTACAGTCACTAATTAGTATCTATACATCAAAGACCCATGGCACCTTAAAAGACCTACAAGTTTATCCTAGCATCAGATCCAAACAAAATTATCCTTAAACTGGCAGTTTTATACATGTGTTTGGGTGTGTTTGCAGATGTAAATTGTGCTATTAAAGGGAGCTTCAATGCAAAAAGTGTAGGCACTGTTACTTATCTCCACAAAATGTCCTGGGTTGAACCAAATAGGCTCCCAGTGCAAAGTTCAGCTGTACCACAGTTCCTGCCCATAGGTGTACAGTCTGAAAGACATGACCCATGAGGAAAAAGTGATTGGTGAGGGAAGAAAAAGAAAGAAAGACTCCAGTTCTTAGAGTTCTTATCAAGAATAGCCGGGTTGGAATCCAATCAGGTAGTCTGATGGAATAGGGTTCTGCTAGGTGACAACTGAGGAGATCAAAAGACAGCCGGTGTCAGCAGAGGCAAACTGGGAACAGGCTGGCTTGGGTTATGATTGCAATGGTGAGCTGATCAACATGTATTGTAATTAAAAAAAAAAAACCCTTCTGCACATACATGTCACACTCAATTGTATTATACTGAGTGAAAAACAATCTGATTTTGTTAGGACTACAATGTTTTAAAGAGGAAGATGAATCCATGTTTGAGCACCATTCACACTAGCGGTAGGGTGACAGATTAAGTTCTCTTATACACAGTTCCTCAAAAACAGATCCACTTATGTCATCATCCACATCTCCTCTTTTAACAGCATCAACTTGGGTAATGAATCAGTTGCTTCATATGCTATACCTCCATATTTTACAGTTTCCCACAGCTTATTGGCCTTAGTCCTCCTTCCCTTCATTTTCCCTTAAATCTTTTTACTTGTTCCCCTTCATCAAAGTCTTTCCCACTTATCCTAATCATTGCATGTTAACTGGATTTTCCACCCTAAATTTCTAATGGTTTTGTGCCAAGCATAGGAAGACATGCACCTTTTCTTATGAGCATATTTTCACACTGGTGTCATAAAAGATGGACAAACCCCCTGAGTCACAGCACAGCGTGATTATACGGATCTTTACTCAGAAACATATGGAAATCAATAGGAAGTACTCCCAGTTGATACTGCAATACCACGTAGTACTGCCTGTTTGTTTAAACAGTACTCTCATTATTTTCAGTAGGTTGGGTGTGCCTTTGTGTAGTTTTGCAGCCTTAATTAACTCATCTGCCTTCGGCTGTCTTCAGAGCATACTTGCAATCTCCACTTCTTTGAATGATCTGCAGTTTCCTGTTTTCCTTCCAAGAAAAAGGGCTAATTACATAACCATCTCCACCTTAAATTAGTATACACCATGATCTGGCATTGGTACCTCTTAATTATTATAACATTCACTGCAGGGTACTTGGAGGATCAACTTTCTAGTGATGGCTATTAAGGTTTGCTTTTTTAAAAAAATGTGTCATTCAGTTCCATGCAGGATTAGCCTTTGGATGAGAAGGCTTGTGCCAGTGAATGTTTGTGATATGTATGCTAACTTCCAGCTCCCTTCAGTGTCTGGCTTTCATGTTCATACATAGTGATTGAGAATACAATAGTGTAGATCGACTTGGCCTTTGTCTCTATGAAGATGTCCTTACACTTCATTATTTTCTTTTTTTTTAAATACATTTTATTTGAAATTATAATCCTAAAAAACAAAAAGAAAACTACAAACAACGTCCATCATCAAAAACATCGAGCTCTCTGGGTCAGCCCCCACACCCTTCTTTTTCCATTTATGATAACTTATAAACATATTTAAATCTATGCGAAGTCCTGTTTCTCTAGCCAATAATAAAAAGTCCCAAGTTTGATAGAAGTCAGTATCTTCCTTCTCCTTCAATGATAAAGTCAATCTATCCATTTCTGCACAGTCCAGGATCTTTTTTAGAATCAGTTCATCGGTGAGTAGTTCTTCACTTTTCCAGTGTTGAGTGAATGCAATCCTCGCCGCAGTGATTACATGTAAAATCAAATACATTTCTTATTTACTTATGTCCTCCAGTATAATGCCTAATAAAAAAACTTCAGGTTTAAAAGCTAAGGATTTTTATAACATTTCCTTGAGCCATTTATGTATTTTAATCCAATACTTTTTCACATTATCGCAAGTCCACCACATATGATAAAAAGTACCCAATTTATGTTTACATTTCCAACATCCATTTGACATATTTGGAAACATCTTAGTTAATCTATTTGGCGACAGCTACCATCTATAAAACATTTTATACAAGTTTTCTTTATACGAAGTTGCTAATGTTACCTTAATATTTCTCTCCCACAGCTTTTGCTACTTTTCTAATTCAATATTATATCCAAAATTTTACTTCCTTATTTTCTCTAGTTCCTTTGTTGCTACCCTGCCAAGTCTCAGTCTTTGTTGAATTTCTTGACTGCAGTCTGCCTTTGAATCAAAGACCGAACAAAGATATACAGAATCCTCTCACCATGTCAATTTCTTCACCATTAACAAGAAATTTCTGCAATTTTTCTGTAGTCATGATTTTTGTTTTCTTGATATTCAGTTGCAAGACTTGCTCTTTCACTTTCATCAAGAGTTGTTTCAATTCATTGTTGCATTCTGCCAGTAATATGATAACATCTGCGTATCTTAAATCAATGTGTCTTCTCCTAGATTTCACTCCGACTTCTGATCCCGATTCAGCTTTCCTTGTAGGTTCTGATACTGTTTGAACAGATAGGGTTTATATCCATGTCTGACACCTTTATTTATAGAAAACCATGCTGTTTCTCCATATTCTGACCCCACAACGACTTCCTGTCCATGATACAAACTATACATCAGAGCAATATAGAGCAGAGGCACACTCCTTTCTTTCAGGACCATAGCTTCGCACAATCTCCACTGTCAAAGACTTTACCGTGGTCTATAAAGCATAGATTAATCTTCAGAAATTCTTTGGTGTGCTTCAGTAGCCAACATATATTTGCAATATGATCTCGGGTGCTTCTTCTGTTACAGAATTCAGCGTGAAATTCAACCAATTCTTATTCTATATAGGAGTAATTAATTAACCTTAATGAATCTTGAAGGTCATGTGAGATACAAAGGTGGGGAATGGATGCACAGTCTTCTCTGGAGCAATAAGTGAAGGCAAATTATTTAGGCAATACATTTTTATGACATCCAATAGTCAACGATCTCTGCACTGTTTACAACAGTAACTCTTGCTAGACTTTGGCTAGTTGACAAACCAGAATAGTGAATCATGATCATTAGCTAAAAGAGAATGGCTTTTAACAGGGCTGTATTATTTCATACTATGTTTTACTTGTAGCATTTGAGAAACTATTGCTGGAAAGAGAGAAGAGGGTATGTTTTCCAGACATGAGAAGAGCTGTCTGGGAGCAGGATGCCTCCAAAGACAATAGGCCATAAAACTGTTTCTCAGTTGGAAAGAGAGGATCTCTTGCCTAAAAGTATTGTAGGCTTTCCATGTGTGTGGGGGCTAGAGATTGTGATCTGACTTAGGTGTGTAACATGTGCAATCTGACAGGTTCATGGGTGTTCCCCTAAAAATTGACCTCAGATTAGATGAGAAGGCATTTTAGCGGTTGCATGAAATGTAGGCTTAGAAGCAGAAGAAGCAACACAAGTGATAAAATCAAGGTGTGCACTGGTTTCACTATACTGTCACAGACACACAGTATCCACATTATGGA